CCTAAAGAATCTTAAGAACATGTAATAGCTATAACTATTAATTTTTTATTATAATTTTATTAATTTAAAAGGTTGCGCATGTCTATTACATATGCTGCATTCCCTTTCTAAGAAGGCTGTTGTAACTCCTTAATATAGTTAAGTCTTCTTAAGGGTCTATCTGCTAGGTTTAGCTTCCCTAGACAGTGCGTAATAATAAAATTATATTTTATTATTCTTTTATAAGCTTAGACCTACTAGTAGTTTAAAGTTTTAGTTTCTATAAACTAGCAAAGATTATTATAGTCTATAAAAAGTTTAAACAGTAGACCCTAGAGGTAATGTTGCTAATATGCTAAACTTTTATTAATAGTAAGTAACTTTTTATTATAGGTATTATAATTATACTTAGCTTTACTTATCTTTTTTAAGAAGAAGCTAATTAGCCTTTATTAAGCCCCTCTAGTCTTATCTAAGACTAATTAGCTTAAAATGCTATAAATTATACTCTTTAAGGTGTTAACCTTTACTTTAGTTTTCCTATTAGTATTAAAATAAGCTAATATAAAAACTTTAAGAAATAAGTTTTAGAGCTTTTAGAAGGCTGCTTTACTTTTAAGACTAATATTAAGCTTCTAACTTTCTTTTTACTTTTACTCTTAACTACCCTTTGCTGCGTCTAGGCCCTTCTAAGTTAGCTTAGTAAAGAGTAGAGTAATTAAAAAGAAGTTAGCAATAAACTGCCTATAGTAGTTTATAAACTTTATAAAAACATAAATATCCTAAACAGTCTTTAGCATTAGCTACTCCTAGATTATCTTAATCCTTAAAGAGTTAACTTTAACTTCTTCTAGGTAAACTATGTACCCTAGGTACTTAGTTTTTTATGTGTAAAATTTACACTTACTAAGTTTTAAAAAAAGCTTTGCTTTATGTAATTTTTATAGCACCTTTTTAACGCAAACAACTTGTTCCTTTTCTGTATTAGAATAGACTAGAATATTGTTAAGGTACACAATACACATCACATTAACTAACCCTGCTAGGGCCTAGTTAATATAAGCCTAGAAAGCTGTAGGAGCATTAGTAAGACTAAAAGGCATAACCTAGTACTTAAAATAACTATATTAAGTCTAGAATGCTATCTTCTACTTATCTCCTTTACAAATACATAACATATAGTACGTATTATAGATATCTAGCTTTATATACTACTTTGCCTTCCTAAGTTTCTTAAGAAATTCTAAGATAAGCAGTAGTAAGTAATAATTTTTTATTATAATCTAGTTTAGGCTTTTATAATCTATATAAAGCTTTAACTCTTTATTCTTTTTCTTTATAAATAGAATTAGAGCTTTTGTAGAAGACTTAGACCTTTAAATTTACTTTCTTTATAGATAATTATTAATATATTTATAAAAATGCTATAACTTATACTCTAATAAGTTATATAGTAGTTAGTAAGGAGGCTTTGTCCCTTCCTTTAGCTTAATAGCTAGATTCTGCAGGCTATGTAGTAGTACTTCTAACATCTTGTTAGACTTAACTATGTCTGTATATTCTTTGTACTCTAGTCTTAACTTAAGCTTTACAGGTTCTAAAGAATCTTTAGTGTTATTAGACAGCACGCTGCAGACGTAGACATTTGTATTAGAACTCTACATAGTTTGCTTAAACTCTACTGCGTCTTCTAAGGCCACCTTAGCGTACTTTAGCACACTATAGTCCTTTACGCCCCTAAATAACATATGTTTTGTATAAAAGTTTAGCTTTAAATTAAACTAATTAATCTAAAGTAAACCTAAATATATTAAAGGTCTCTTTAGGTCTATTACTATAAATAGCACCTTATAAGTCTAGACCTTTTTTTAGGAGTCTATAATTTTTACATTTGCAACTATAAAGCTGTAGACAGCAAAGTCTAATTTATTAGGTGCCTTTAGAAAGACACCTAGTAGGGGCTTAATCTTAAGATCCTGCTCTTTAGCTATTATAGTAGATAGGATGTTTAATTTAGCTTTTTTATTTACTACAGCCTAAAAGTCTTCTAATAACTCTATGCTTACTATTACTAATAATAAGGTTAACTTTTTTAAGTATAATAAGTTCTAAAGGTTTTTAAGCTCCTTTTTATTACTTACTAAAGTAATATAGGCTAGAAGAAAAAAGCTTAGTTCTTTTAGCCCTACTTTTTTCTCTTTTACTTATTTTTATTAGACTTATTTTTATCTTTATTCTTTATAGAATAATCTAGGGAAATATAACCTAGCTGCTTATAATTCTAGTAAGTAACTTTTATCTTATTAAATTTTTACTTTTTTCTAGCCTTTTTTTAGCTTAAAGGCTTTTTTTATTTCTTTTTAGGCTTCTTTAAGTCTTTATTAGCTAGAGGTAAGGTAGAACGCTTTTATGTTCTTTTTTTCTTTAACTTTAGCCCTTTTCCCTTCTATAAGCAGCAGTAGGATATGTTGCTCTACTCTTCTACCTAAGCTAGCGTCTCTTGCTTACTTTATAGAATATACGTTAGATTACGCTTAATCTTATTAAATAGCGCGCTACTAAAGTCTACTGTTATCTTTTCTAGGCTCTTCTTATTAACTTTAGTCTATAATAGCCTAAGGTAGGCTAGAAGTTTAGTTAGGAACTAATTAAGTTATTATTTACAGTTCTTTATAGTGTTATAGGCTACCTTTTTTTATTTTACTAGAGTACTTAATGTATTAAGCATCTTGTTTTTAAGATCTTGCTATGTTAGTAACTATAATAAGTTAATAAGCTTTAAATAAGTGTAGTGTGTCTTTTATAGTAATTATAGTGTTTTATTAACATATTATAGGCTAAAAGAGATCTTCTGTAATTTCTAAGTAAAGCTTAATAGACTCTTTTAGTAATAGTCCTTATTATCCCTACACTACTAGTTGTAGTCTGCCCTGTTCTTCTTTTTATATTAGTGTAGTAGTTTAGGACGCAGTAGGTTTACTTAGTCTTAAGTAAGTTTTAGTATAATAACATTTAATGCCTTAGTTAGTAACTTGTTAAGCGTGTTTATATTACCTGCTTTAAATTAATAATAGATTTCTATTATTCTAGCTAGTTTTTACACTTCCTGCTGCTCTTGCAGCTAGGCGCGGGCTTCTGCTAAAGCCTAATTTGCAGGGGTAGACTGTGCGTTGCTTGGTCCTGCACTAGCCCTTCTAACCCCTTCTAGGCCCTAAACGCCTTCTAGATAGCTTAACAAGCCTAATCTATAAAAATTTCTATTATCCCTTTTACTTATCTTTTGCTTTGTTCTTCTTTGTGTTAGTGTTAACTTTAGTTAAGTATTACTAGAAGTAGTAGTCTTAGCTAGCTTTTTAGGTAATCTTTAAGCGCTAGTTGCATCTAATTCTCCTCTAGCGTTTTGCTTTAACACTATTACATAGAAATGTTGCCCTTAAGCAGTATGCTAGCTTGTAGAGCAATTTAAATGTAAAGATAGGATAGTAAATAGCATAAATAGCACTAAGAGCAAGCTTTTAGAGAAAGATAGAAGTGTATTGTAAGAGAGACAAATCGCTGCTAAGCTTTGCTTGTTAGGATTCATGCTTATATACAAAGCACAGGTCATACGACCTCCAAACAGGTCAGGTGAGGCCATACTGGCCCGTTCTGGGACATCCGGCCTTACAATTGTAACGTGAATGGCGGGGGTTGGAGAGTGTACACATTGGAGTAGTATAACACCACTAATGGATTTCGAAACATTTTATACATATCTAGACATAGTGTTTAATAGAACGTAGCTGTTACTGTTAGAATTTTTAAGGCGTTACTAGAGGCAATAGGGTTTTGTTCTTACAGAAAGAGTGAATTAAAATAGCCTTATAGACAGTAACAGTTACTGCTAAGTTAATTGATAGTAAAGTTACTGTTTAGTGCAGTTACTGCAGTAACTAGTGTTTCTAGAGGTTCTTAACATAATCTTGCTAATATGGTTGCGGAGATTGTTTAACTCTAAGATTATAAAAAGCAATAGCTGCAATTAAGCTCTTCGCACAATATCTAAGGCCTCTAGGTTTCAGCTAGCAACCTCTAGTCTAGATATTATCCTACTTGATGTTAAAATTTAAGCTGTTGTTAAGGCAAGAGTTCTTAGAAAACTTGTAAGAATAGAAACACTAGTAGACAAATCTTTAATTATAGAGCTCTAAGAGCTCCTAGAGGTGGCTCTTAACTTCTAAAAGTAATAAGAGCTTGCAAAATGTTAAACTAGTGCTACAAGCTTTAAGTGCTACGTGGAGTTTAGCATACTTATAGTACCTGTAACGATTCGCTTGAATCGTTCCATCTCGGGTTGCCCGACGAACTGATATCCGAAGGTTCTGTAAGGCCGAGATGGTGCTTACGTGCGACGGGTATATATACTATTCTGTACGCAATAATTAACGTTGGTTAATTATTCGCACCTTTTTGGTTGTATTGGCGTAGTGGTACAGAGCTCCGTCCTTACAGGTTCCTCGTATCTGCCCTGATCCTGCCCCCTGCCCTACCCCTATCTCTAAGTATGTAGTCGCACCTCTCCCCTTAGCTAGCTTGGTAGTTTTCTGATATCCTTTGTACAAGGCCTATAGGTGTTAATGGAATTCCCAGGTTTCTGAGTCCCCACGCACTCCTATATGCCTCTCAGTGGATTCACACCGCATTCGGACCTGTTGTCTTGCCTGCGCCGTTACAGTAACAATAGAAGCAATATTAGAAGCAAGAAGTAGGTAATTTAAGAAGTTACTTCTCTGTACTAACAATAAATAGGATAGTTAGCAAAGTACATAATCTAGTGTATTAGTGCGCGTTTAGCCCTTGTACTACTACGCGTAAAAACGTCCTCCACAAACGCGTTAACAAGACACTAAGAAATTAATTAGTATAGGCAGTTACTGCAGTAACTATAGCCTTATTAACTGTACAGTAACAGAAGGCAATTTACTTTTGTTCTAACTGCCAAGAGATTGTTACTATCAGTAACAGTAGGAACAGTACTAGTTCTATTGAACGCCATGCATCCAGATCTCAAACACTTGCTCCAATTTCCGATAAGCCTTAGACATCCGCAGATAACCAGAGGTCGCCATTGCCTTTAGACGAGCTCCCACCACCTGTTTCCATCTCCATGGGGAGTCAGGGGTTCTCAGTCGACGCAAAAGAGAATTACGTAGTCTGGATATATTCCTCTGAATGAAACAATGCCATTAACATAAAAATATCACGAATCGACTCCTCCATATTCATCATTAATAAGTCGAAGGATTAGAAAGGGTTATAAACCTGCCAAACCCCCTAAGACTACCTAACATGCTAATACGGCGTAAGGTGGTATGGTTCAACTTAAGATGCATTGTTTCTCGCATACGGGCAATCTCCATAACATGGCATTTACTTCTGCTTATTCCGCTATTTGGTTCGAGCTGCTCAAATACTTAGCGGAATGGGAGGCGGAGGATGTAGAGATAGTCAGTGTAATGCCGGCGAACTGTTCGGTTGAGATTTTGAGTCTATATTATACGAACTCGCGTCGTGCATGCATCTTATCCGCCTATATATTTTCTGCTGCTGCGCTTAGTAGAAGGCTGAACCTTTGCCACTTGCCATTACTGCCTCAGGGATTTTAGCTAATCTAGTCTGCAAGTAAATTCTCCGGCTTGTGAGCGGGTGCAGGAATAGGGACAATTCATTGTGCATGGGCCTTTGTTAATATTTGCAGTGAATCTTGCAATACAACTATTTGTCTTTACCTTCGGCCTTTTATAATGATAGTGTACATGATCCTACACCGAGCCAGCTCAGTATTCACGATGATCTCGGATCGACATTGTGACTATCTCATCTGCAGTATAAATTATATAATTCCACTTTGGATTTTCCTCCATCGTTTGTATATACTGAGTTCTTGATCCAATATGCTGTCTGCATCCAGCCAGGTCAGTGATAACTTTGGAACCATCAAACATCTTCCTAACCCACTCAACAATGTTGGAACACCCTCGACACCTTTTAGTGCATTGTTTTAGCCACGTCTGTGAAAGCCGTCAACGTCCTTTTGAAGAGTCATTTTTTGATGTAGAGTTACCCAGAACCTCGAGATTGAGCAAGATAAATTCCGCCGATTAGCACGCCCGCACTACCATCGTTGGAGCATACTTGGATACAAGATTCGATTACAGAAGTATCTGGATGTAGCATTGCGAGTTCGGAGCTCTAGATACATTCATCGCTCTCTCAGGTGGTAGAGGGAACAGGACTCCTAAAGGGTTTATTTGCGGGTATCTCTAATCCTCTCGGTCGCACAGGGTGCCGCATGCAGGTAATTCGTAGCTGAAATTATGTTCACAGTCGTAATAGTAAGCCCGGCAATGATATCGCAAAATTCTCTTAGACGACTTTGAATGCTCGCTCATAATCGAACGGTTTTAAAGTTGGCATAGTACAGCTGAGAATCGCTAGGCAGGCTAGACCATTCTCTCCGCCGGAGTTTCCACGTTACTCTGATAGTGGAGATGCGTGTATACTTGGCTTAACGATCCACTGCATGGCGTATTGTTTCAATATTCTAGACCACAATTTAGCGGGGTAATGGAGCTACCTATGGATAAGAGGCCGAGATAAGATGTCACTCTTGAATTTGAGATAGTGCTTGCACTATTTTGATCTTCTTTGTATTCAGGGAGTGGCGAGTGTAATGAACATTGACAAATTAACCGGTGCGTGTAGCGCTAAGAGTTATCTATCCGCAAACAGAGTGTGTCAGCTAAAGAAAAAAATATTCAGTGAATCCATTAAGCAATCGTTTTGTGTGATTTGTGAAGAATTTGGGCTGAAAAGAACTTTGATATAAATTTGAAGCAAGTGTGGAAGTGCTTGGCACTCACATGCCGGATTTTCAAAACTGGCAATCCGTCTACCGAAAACAATCTAGCGTTCAAGTTCCACCTGGGTCTCCTGATACAGCACTCAAGCTCATATTCAGCATTCATCCACCAATCCACACCATGTCTTCCAAGCCTACTGTCATATCTGTTATAGGCTCCCTAAATGTGGACCTCGTCACTCGAACACCCCGTGTACCTGTCGCCGGTGAGACATTGACGTCGGAATCCTTCGACATCGGCTTTGGAGGTAAAGGTGCCAACCAAGCAGTCGCGTGCGCACGTCTATCAAGAACGGAAAAGCAAGCAGCTAGCGGAGAAGCCTCTGATGTCGAGGTGCGGATGGTGGGTGCGGTGGGCGAAGATCAATTCGCACCGGATTTCTTGAAGAGTTTACAGAAGGACGGGTTGAATACGTCAAAGATCCAAGTGCTGCCGGGGAAGAAAACAGGTGTTGCTGTCATTATCGTTGAGAGCCAGACCGGTGAGAATAGGATCATGTTTTGCCCGGGAGCAAATTACGACGTGCCGGTGGCGGACCTGGTGGACAGCGACGCTTCGGTGGCGCTGTTCCAGTTAGAGCTTCCAATGGATGTCGTATGTTCCTGATTCTCTTCTATCAGTCAAAATTTCGTTGCTGATTAGCCATAGGTATTGCATAACATGAAGGTAGCACGCGATAAGGGCGTCGAAACCATCATCAATCCAGCACCTGCGATACCATTGCCAGATGAGGCATACCAAGGACTTGGACACCTCCTCGTGAATGAAACAGAAGCTGCAATTCTCTCAGGCATCTCCAATCCTACCTCATGGGACGAGGTTGCCGCTGTCTTCGTCTCGAGAGGCGTTAAGAACATCATCATCACTCTTGGTGGAGAAGTAAGTGGCTGCTTCTAATCTCACCATAACACGGTCCCAGATCTGACAGTGTGAAGGGTGTATACTACCAGACTGATAAGCTACATTCGCAGTCGCAGGCGGGAAAGCTTGTTCCTGCTCGAAAGGTCAAGGTGGTTGACACGACAGCGGCCGGAGACACGTTTGTGGGTGCATATTCAGTCGCTATCGCTCGTTGGAAGTTGAACGCCAGTGATACTGAGCTCGACTTGGACGAAGTAATTGCATTCGCCAACCGTGCTGCCTCCATGACTGTCCAGAAGAAGGGCGCCCAGTCATCGATTCCTTGGGTTGATGAGGTACCAATAGCTTAGCAGACCTAAGGCTGCATGAATAAAGCGCTCGTAAGGGATAAAAAAAAAAAAAAAAGGCTATCTTGAACATAAAGCACATCAACCTAGAATATCTATTTGCCTGTCAGGTTAGTTCTAGCGCTTTGAAAGAATGTGTCAGCCGTAGACCTCTGCAAAAATGCAGGGCCATCTCTAATTCAGCAATGCCTATCCAAATCAGGCACCTCGCTTTTGCCGACATGGCCTATTACTGATCCCGAGGTTGATAATGTTGATCTCCTCCCCAACTGGTCAGCGCCCGGTTTCGGCCAGCGCTTCCAACGAGGCGTAGTATTGTACGATTAGGCGATTTTGAGGCCTGCACGGGTCAGATTTTGTGTACGTTTGTACGCCAGAGAGGAGGAGAGGTAAGTGTACGTATTGTAACTAGTACAGCTCATGTAATCTGTATAAGTAGTGCAATTTAAAAAAAGTACACTGTATACTAGTTAAAACAGCTAAGATTATAAGTTTTTAAAGATGTAGCATTAAAGTCTAATTGGCTACAAGATAACTAGTTCTTTTTAGCAATAAAAGTAAATATGTTTAAAACCTTACTAGTTACTGACTATTTTATGCTATAGCTAGTTCTTTTAGAGTTAAATGGGTTTGATTATTGGTTACTATATAACAAGCAGTGCTAAAACATGTGAGAGCACTGTGAAGCAGGAAGCATGAAGCGCAGAAGGGGGTACAGGATAGTATTGATAGACGAATCCTTGAGGAGACTCAAGGGTTCGTGAGAGGATATATATATATATGTGCCCAAGGCCGAGCTGAGGGCTCTCCGGGGAGAGTCCGAGGCATGTCTAAGTTAACCGTGACAAAACACCTCTTACACTTATATCTAGTAGCCAAGATTGTAAGGAAATTAAAGGTAAGTTAACCTTATGCCTCTTTAGTAAGTGCTAAATAATATAGTTATAGCTATCTACTACCTTTGCAGCGCCTTAAGAGCCTTGCTTATAACACTAACAGTAGAGCTAAGGGCAGATTACCTTACTCTGCTCCTCTAGGAGCGCTAAATCTGTCCTTACAAAACTTTTAGCTAATTAGAGACCTAGAAAACTCCTAGACGCTCCCCACAGGCCCACTGCCCTGCACTACGTACTGTACCTAGGGCATTATTAACTGTACAGTGCGGCTCACGAACTCGGTACATTGCACTGAACACGTGACCGTTACGGTTCACTTTGTACGGCCCATTGGAAACCCTGGCTTCGACATTCACATCTCGGTTGAGCATTTCCTTGCCCAGACTCTCCACTCTCTGTACCCTTATTCGGCCCAAAGCTCAGAAATAACCGCGCCTACGTTAGGTCTCTCCGATAGAGCTAGTCAAGAAATCTTATTTTAATTGGTAGTAAGTTCCAGGCTCTACAGCTAAGGTATATGGTATGGTGTGACAACCCCTTGCGAACCTCATGGGAAAGTCTTGGTATGGAGATTGTGGGACGAAGTCGGGATTTCGAGAAGCAGATCACACACAGAGCGAAGGAAACGGGAAAGTGGGTCGGACAATACATGGACGATCGCTGTATACAGACCAGCGCAATTCCACAAACCCTGATCCCTCTGCATTCACGTCCTATGATACCAACTCTCTCGTCTCTCACTTGTGATCTACCTCAATTAATAGTACTCGATTATCGAGGCAGGTCAATAATGTCTCGTTCCTCACCACTACTAGAGCCTTTTTATCTACCTCGGAGAAAGTTGAATTTAAGGAAGCTGAGGTACTTGACGAAGAGGTCGGGTATGAGAAAGATACCCCCAGACATGTACTAGAAGACGAAGTTTCAGAGGAGCAAAGGAAGATCGAGGCAAATGTTGTGTAAGTCAGACTACGATATCTTCTATCAACCACCACGACAGCAAGCCTGCGTTATCTCTTGGTGGGCATTCAAAGCTCCAGTGCATTTCAGGCACTAAAAGTTTCCAGCCGCAAAGTTGATTGGCGTCTGATCCCAATTCTCAGAATTCTGTACTCAGTCTCTAGCCTCGACTGTGTCAACCTCTCTAATGCTCGCGTCGCTGGCATGAACAAAGAACTCCACTTTGACGTCGGAAATCGTTACTTAGTTGCCCTACTGGTCTTCTTCGTTACATATTTCCTCTTCGAGCTCCTAGCCACTCTTATCTCTCGGCCTATTGGCCCTAAGTTCCTGCTCAATGATCTAGCTATGAGCTAACGCGCCGTCATGGTTGGAATGGGCTTCGTTGATGACTGGCGGCCTATCACTGTTTGTAGAATGGTGATCGGCGGGTTCGAAGCCGGATTTTTACCGTGCTGTATGTTTCTACTGTCCACCTGGTATCAGAGATTTGAAATTCAACAACGGATGGCTTTCTGGCATCTCATTTATCTCTTTATTTCCGCATTTGGAAACATTTTGGCTTATGCAATTATCAAACTAGAAGGTGTGCATAGTATTGAGGGATGGAGATGCATATTCATGTAAGTCTATGATCTGGAGCGGTTGTATTACCAGCTTATGAACCCGCCCAAGTGTTGAAGGCGTAGCAACACTCGATGTTGCCATATTCGGCTACTTCCTCGTTATCAGTTTCCCCGATCAAATGCTTGCCTCTGGAAAACGCTAAGGCTTCACCTAACGTGAACTTGAAATCGTTCTGGATCGAATCGATCGTGACCGCGGAGATTCCCAGCAAGACTTCCAACGGGCCGTACTACAGTCCGTACAAAGTGAACCGTAATGGTCACGTGATAAGTACAAACGTACTGAGCTCATGAGCTGTACTGTACGTTTAATAATGCCCTAGGTACAGTACGTAGTACAGACTGTATTACCCTTTTAGGAAGTTTTTATAGCAATTTTAAAGGAGTAGAAGCGCTCTAGCAAGCAGTAAGCTTATAAAAGTGTTTAAAAAGGGGTTTAAAGTGTTACGAATCAAAAGCAATAGCTGCGGTAAACCAAGCAGATGTCGCTGGAAGCATGCAAACGCTTGAAGGACTGGCATGACGGGAACACGACGATGCGCGGGGCAGCTGATGGCACAGTCACGTGAAAGGAAAACGGCTGCGGCTGAAAGAGCGGCCGCAAACTTGGCGAAGCCAAGAAAACAGCCGGAAGCTTGGCAGTAGCGGGACCAAGAAATGAAGGGATACATAAGGACTGCAAGTCCCCTAGCTAGATTGTCTCTTTGTAGTTATTAATTTAGTTAAACTTAAACATACTAGTTACCTAGATTGTCTCTAGCATTCATCAACGCTAAGTGAGCCCTCTCTCGTACACCACGCGGCTTAGTACAGAATAATTCCCTGTTCTTCCCGATTATTCAGCACCTTGGAACATGACTACGATGAAATCGATCTTTTTAACCTCTTGGTGGAGTTGGGGAGGACATTATAAGTATGATAATTTCCATTCCAATTAGCTCTGTTGTGCTCCACGTAAGGCGACAAGATGCAGTAGTTCTCCCTCCAACAACACAATGCACTTTTCCACCCTTTCTGGACTATACAAAAGTCGATTGTGCTTGTCTGGCATGGAAATTAATCGCAGCCATATAGAATCTGAAGTGAGATCGAAACGAATATCCCTTCAACTAATACCCCTCATTGACAAACCCAGCCTCGTTTCGCTGCCCGTCATTGGATCACAAACAATCGTGAAGAAGGATAGAAGGACATAATTAGAGCAACCTGTCATTGAAATCGTAACCAGGCCAAGCCACTATTTACTAGTGCATGTACCTCTCTACATACCATGGCTGCCCTAGAGGCTCCACATCAATGCAACACTCTTGCATCATCACTAGGCTTACAAAGATTGAGAAGAGCACTGAAAGATAGCGACCGCGAATCAGATGCTGCGGTGGTCCCCCCTTTCTTTCGCATTTAGGGTCAATATTAAGCTTGCTCCTGGTCTTCACACAAGCTTTCACTAGTGCATCATTTCTAACGCAAATAGTAGTAGCCAAGTCTACATCAAACTTCAACCTCACCCTACAAGGCTAACATCACCACAGAGCAGATCGGCAGACCTTCCTGCATCGCAAGCGAGATCGACCGAAATCTCTTGACGAAAAGCCCTCGCTTGCGGCGCTCCATCTTTCAACATCTACCCAACAAAGGGCTCCAGTTCTCGACTCGGCCATGCCACGTTTCAGCTGGAACATGGGATGCTCTTCGGCTGTAGCCAATGAGAGCAAGGACCACCAGAATGCTTTCTCGTATTCACGGCAGTTTTGAGATCCGCTAGCCATACTTTTAGTAAGTGGGCTTCGGCTCTGATACAAGATGGCAGGGGTTGGAGGAATCAAGGAAATCAAATGTTGTAGATAGGGTGACCCGAACTGTGCGGCCCTAGGTTACGATTGATCGATTCTTCACACCTGACGCAAGGTTTGTCGATGTAGCACAGCAAACGCCGCACAGCGCACACCCCGCAGTTAACCGTCATCCTTCTTCCTTGATTCCAACAATCACTGTTGTAACGCTGGTTTCTGCAACCTAAATACAACAACCTACGCCTCCTTCACCCTAGATTCACTAGCTTTGAGAACAGATTGCTTCTAACAAAGTCTTACGAACACAAGTCCTCAATTCCACACGAACTACTTCACAACATCAAAATGCCTGCCATCACCACAACAGATATGATCAAGCGATCGCTCATCGCGCTCGGCGATCCAAAGTGCGTCTTTCACCTCCCAGACCGTTTCTCCCCACTCATCCAATCCGCGCAACCAAGCTAATCCCTCCGATAGCACCGCAGCCCAAGCCCTCCATCTCATTGCGCGTAAATCCAAAAAGAAGGCCAAGAAAACCAAGGTCTCGGGTGGAGCCATCGCCGGCATCATCATCGCGGTCATAATTATCATCATCATCATCCTGGTCGTCTTGTTCATCATGCGGAGACAGAAGAAGAAGAGGGCGCAGCAACAAGTACAGATGCAACCGCAGCAGCAGATTCCTTATGGACAATAGGGAGAGCAGAGCTAGCGCAATCCTGTTAATTTGGGTTTGCACATGCGCGCTGGGAGTAGTGCGCTAGGCGACGTGTATCATATCTAAATAGCTGTATATGCGCTTGGTCGCCGATGTGGTCGGGAATGGAGCTGGTCAATGGCGTGGCATGGCGTCGTGGAAATACGTCCTATGTAGTGCTATTTTTGTTCGTATCCGAGGGTCTATGGTTAAACGAAGCAGGCTTTCCTCTCGGATTTCCTCTTCTCTCTCCTCTCATACTTCGTGGGGGTTGGCTCTGAATGCTATATTAATGATGCCATTCACTTTTTCATTTCTACTGGTCAGACAAGTGAGTTGCTCGCAGAGCGGAATATGTTGTAATGAGATTGATGTAGAAATGAACTATCGATGTGCGAATCGACTAAGACATATATTCTGCACACTATGTATGAGAAGCCAATTTAGGATATCAAAGAACGATGCCAGTCCTAGAGGTTTAAAGTCCATATCTATATTTCAATAGCGCCGAAATCTTCCATTTTTGCTTTCCTACTTAGGTCCGCTCAGCTCAGCTCTGATAATTTTCAGCTAAGACGACTATGGCGCTCACAGATAGTCAGACAGCCAATGAGCGCATCATATTCCACAAAGAATCCAGATACAAGCTTTGCTCTCGCCTGTGATTCCCTTGCGAAATAGAGCTTGAGCAAGAGCTGAAGCTGTCAAGCATTTAAGTGTTGTCATCGTATAACCTAGAAATTGGCTATGCGGAAGTGGTTAAGAGATTAACGGCTGAGGTATTTAAGAAGGGTTAGTTCGCGTGTGGCTGGTTGCACCTTGGGTGGTGAAGGCTATCCTTCCGGTCACTGGGCCATCGGCTTTGCAACCAACATTTTAGCGGACCCACCCTTTACTATAACTCACATCCACGACCCAAACCCTCGAACCCGCAAAGTCACCATGCTAAAATGCCTACCATTTCTGGTCTCCTCACCTGCGCTCTATCCTCCACCCGGCACCTGGTCTCCCGCCGCAGAAAGAAAGGATTCAAGAAAGCAAAATTTCCCGCTGGAATCATCATTGCAATCGTAATCGCGCTTCTCGTCATCGGCGCAATCGGTTTTGGGATTTCATTATTGGTGTCCAGGCGGAGACTCAAGAAGAAAGCAGAGAAGGAGGAGAGGGAGAAGCAGATAAAGGGGGTAGAGATGGTAATGGGGGAGGGGGGAGGGGGAAGAGCAGGGTCAGGTTGAAGGAAGTGTGGGAGGCGTGCAGGGAAAGCAGATGGAGGGCGTAATTAAGGTGGTTGGAGTGGGGGATGAAGTTGAGGAGTGAGGGTGAGGGGAAGCCTTCCTAGGAGTTTGACGTGGTGTGAATTAGGGGGAGTGTGCGAATGGTGGTTTGAAGAGAGGGGATGGAATTGAATTTACTGGGGAGTTATTTTGCTAGGAAAGGCGAGTGAGTGCATGGGGTTGACTTGTTGGTTAAGGTCGGGGTGTGTTCTGGTGAGGGAAAAGAGGGAAGTTTGCGCTTAGATCTTCTCCTCACCTAGACCTTGTCTTCAAATCCCCTATTGATGTAGCCAGGTTGGTTCCTGCTGTATAAGTGAATGAGCTATGGAAAGGCATGGACAAGCGATGGATGTATACACCTCCTGCGGCGATTCAGGTAGGCTACGCAAACATAACAAGATGATGAACGGCTCCAAGACTACATTGTGCAACACGGTAAAGGATGGTACCATGGTATACACACGCGGTTCTCCTAGTTCCAATACCTCGATTGATGCGACATATATCATCCAGTCCCGTCCTTTCCCGTCAGATGCGCCATTTCTCTTGAAACGCCTGCTTCGCTCTCAGTTCCCATACAAAATATACATACATACACGTCACCCCAACCCTTCTTCCTTCAAATGCAGGTTATGTTGCATCGCTGCTTGGTTCCTTATCCCCAGGGACTTCTTTAGGTTCTTCGGGTTGGCTAGTCTCGGGCGTAGGTCTCGGGGGAGTCTTTGCTTCTACGAGCTGGATGAGATACGTGCCGGTGTTGCCAGCGCCGTCGATCTGGCCGAGTCGAGAGTTAAAGAGTTGAGCGTCGCGGAGAAGTCTATGGACAATTAATGAAACTTCCTCGTGTCATTGGACATGCAGAGACATACCTTGCTTTGCCAGGAGCCGTTTTGATCGTAGCTTCCTTGAAAACTTTTCCCACCTGTTCTCTATAACTCTCAAAGACTGGGGCCATGATCATCCTAACCGATATCTCAGCCAGATACTTGCTGATGACCTTGTCCAACGTGACCGTCTCCTTTGTCAGTATCTCCATGTTGGGACTGACGTCACGCTCAGTATCACTATCCCATTCGATCTTCTTCAAGTTCCGGACATGAACCGTAGCCCGGTTACTCATGATATCGATCAACTTATCGTGGATGTTGGTTTGCTGGTCATGCAGGAGCCGCTTGACATTATCGAACTCTGCTAACTGTGGTTTTCCAGCCGAGGTATGCCGCCGAGCGCATTCACGGATGTAGGGTAGGATAGCAATAATGAAGCTTAAGGTCTGGGATGCGATGGCAAGATTTTTTGTGTTGATATTCTTCAGTCCCGCAGAATGCATGGCGCCAGCGCCAAGGAGAAGCTGGCAAAGCCGCGAGTTGAAAAGCTTGAGGTATTCGCAAAGAGACGCAGAGACCTCAGACGTCATGCTTGGAATAATAGCGAGCAGTGTCTCAAATCGATCGATACCTCGTAGCACGACGGTAGAGGATTCTGATATGATGTACCTCTCTTCGTCAACAATCGCTGGATGTGGGTTCTTCGGTTTCTCCTTCGCTGTCCCGTTTGTTTCAGTCGTCGCGGTGCCATTCGTTGTAGGAGGAATCTCGCTCAATAGTGCTCCTGCTTTTACCCATTCGGCGTGATCATTCGTCATTCCCTGTAAAATCCTCGATAATACAGCATTGTCCGTCTGTTCAAAGTCTTTTGGTTCCCATCGGTCTGAGTCCATGGCCTGGGCGAGCTGTTGCTTTTCGATGTCCGCAAATCTTGACACGAAGTCGATGATGTGATTGTTCACCACGCCCTTGAGAGCAGCCCCAGAGCGCCCAGATACCGCTTCGCATTCATCTGCAAAGAGCCTGCAAAGGTTGAAGTATCGTAAGAACCGATCAAGGGGAAGGTGAGTAGTGGCTTCGGATCGGACCTTAAGAAGTTTGGTAGCTTGTGTTTGCGCCGCGTCAACAGCCTGTCCGAGTAAACTAGACATATCCAATGCCTGCATCAGCTCCTCTTGTAGACCATTCGGATTATTCGGATCCGGGGTATTTCTACCGCTACCCATATAGCCATCAATGCTACCAAGATTAGGACTCCTAGGCGGGGATTTCCAACCACCGCTCGATGGTGGTGGTGTACTGACTCCGCTCGTCACATCAAGCAGCACCTTGACCTGTATGCTAAGTCTCCGTAAGGCCTCCCCAATGTCGGTAAATATATTGATAAAGAACTCTTCCGCGTCGGCCGGATCCATTGCACGAAGATTGCGAGCGAGTATTGAGTTCTTATCCTGTTGGTTATACGCCCGGCTACTCCTTGTTGACACGGAAGTCATGGATTCCGCATCATCATCCGTTGAACTCGGAAGATGGTGCCGTATCAACACCTTCATTTCTCGAACAATCGCGTCTCGGAAAGCTGCAGCGGCCTGACCGGTGAAGTTAGAGCCACTTAGACCCACCAAGTTGGCGCGAAGGTCTGAACGGAACCTGGCGTCTGTCTTGAGATAGGCCGGTAATACGGATTGCATCCTCGAATGCTCGCCGCGAGCTCTCTGAGATGCTGTGATCCACCGTTTGAGTGTATCTTGGCTCGAGACACTCTTAATGTGTTGGCGTAAGTCTGCAAGTAGCGTCTCAAGAAATCGTGCTTCGAACCCTTTCCCTATGCGTAGCTTCAATTGGTGTATGCCTTCTGATACCCCATGCAACGCCCTCAAATTTCGCAAGTCAATAGGAGTTGATGGTAAACGACTCTGTATCCAGGCTGTAGTCGACGGGTCGGTCATGTCTAGTGTACCGCATATTAGCCGTTCGACTATGTCCAATCTAGCCATGGCTACCTCCAGCGCGCCGTTGTCAACCACTTCATCGCAGTAAGAGAGTCCCAGAACCACGGCCTGCAGCTGGTCTGTTGCATCTGTTAATCTTCTCAGATTCTCCCGACGTCGTTTCATCTCCACAATCTTCAACCCCCCTATTGCCATCTGCTCATCCAATCGGCTGAGATCTTCGCGGATAGTCTTTATCTTTGCCACAGATTCGGAAGCTTCCCAGTGGAGTTCACGCAAGGAACCTAGTGCGGCGAAGAAAGAGGTCGACGCGGTGGAGATGGATGATATTAGGTGCACCTCGACTGTGTCCATGTACCACGATAGCTTCTCTTGCAATATAGCATTTGTTGCCAGTGCCTTCCGTCCTGGCGGCTGCGGCACATCCAAAGACCCATTGGCGGCCTTTATGTCGTCACTAGTTTTCGTCTGAGGAGGTCGAACAACCTCGGATCTCTCACTAACGATGTCGAAAGTCCGCGGGTTTTCAAGATGGAAGTTCTCGTCAAAATATACATTGGGTATCGTTGATAGCGGTGTAATAGTCGGCAATGCTCGCTTAGATCCGCTTGAGCGACGTTTAGCTTGTGGTGAGCTCACGGGGGAGAGCCCCGATGTAGAGAGCCTAGGTGGTGCTGGAGATCCGGCCTGGAAGCCGCGCTCTAGGGCGTCCGCAAATTCATCCTTCTTCGAAGTGTCTCGTCGGAATATCTGTGGTGCCGTCCCGTCCACCTCCGCTTTCGCCCGCTGAAAAGCATCATACAGCCCACCGACCTGGGAGAGATAGGAGCTGAATGCGCTAGGCTCGATGTGGGGTACGTTAGTGAGTGTCACGGGTGGAATGTCTTTGGTCGACGGCGGCTTGTGTCCAGGTAATACAGAAGCTGATGTGTGCGGCAGCATGCCCGTGCGAACAATGGGAGGTTGCAATAAGGTTGAAATAGCTGGCTATCTGTCAGCAAAATAAACAGAGGCTGGGGTGTGGCAACCCTACCGTTGTGGTTCTGCTCCCTCACCGCACCCATCTTCGCCTGGAATGAGGTATCCAGTGTTCCTCCCACGGAGTGTATTGAGTGTATGGAGCTCGCCGTCGAGCTGCGACGTGGCTGGTATCGGCCGCCGGTCGAGTTCGGCCGGAGAGTCCATTCATGCTGCGGAGGAAAAGGAAACTGGTTTTGCTGGGAGGCCGGCGAGGTAAATTCAAAGCTCTCGACCGATCGCCGCGGAGAGGGGGAAGACATGTTCGAAGCCCAGGGTACAAGTCTAAGGGTGGCCGAGGCATAGGGATGGCGACAAAGGGGGTCCGGTCACTCCGTCAACTCATATCATGCTTGAAAGGGCGTTGTGGAGGCGGAATCGTGAGGAAAGTAGGGGCAATTTTCAGTTGAAGACGGAGTAATGATGGAGGGCTCTTTGAGTTGTGATGATCATCATCCTGACTTTACAGCTCCACGTTTGTGCACACGCGCCGGATGCCAAGGTTTCTGTGTCGGCAGGGCTATCCTGGTCACCCGGCCCGATCACTCGGGATGCCGAGAGCCGACTCAACCTCACCTCTCACCTCCAACAACACCATGAACATATCTCTTCTACGAACCCATCTAGCCATAGAGAGCATCAACATAATTACCAAATCATCAGGCCGGCTCCGCGACATTACCTTGCCTGCAGATAATAGCATGCATCCAAGATTATCGCCACCGAATCAATCCTCATCCCTGAAGCTACTGCATATCTTCTTTCTCATATTTCTTCACCAGCAACTTCATCTCACACTCTATTATCCCTCCTGCATCCTCTACTCCTTACCTATTATCCGTAAGCAATGTAGAGAGAGTATCATTCTTTAAAATTTCCTCGACCCCTTGTTTTAATTTCAGCTATTCCTAGTTTACTTTTTCAGCCTTGCCAAACACTTTTGCTCTACCTTCTCCATTTCCTACGGTGATGTGGTCACGGCCGATTGAATCCTATCCTGGGTAAAGTATGCGACTTACATGCAAAAGCTGACCACCCGCTCTTGATAGCGGAGGTCCGCGAGTGTAATGCAAGCATTCAAGTAGAGGAAGAAGATAATATCAAGGGTGACAGCCATTCTTACTTTGGGGGGGGCGGCTATAACGCGTTAATACTCAAATCTACAATTAGGTTTATAACTACCGCTGGGCGGATGACTAGAAATTATTTGCGCGTGTTCTCCTTTGGTGAGCTCCACAACTCCAAATGGTTCGTGGCACAAGTACGTGAAGATTCCATCCTCACCTTTATGCCCTCCACACTGCCGATATCAATGTCACATATCGTTTAACTTCTCATTTCTTCATTGAAGTGCTGTATCCTGCGAGATTAGGGCCCTCCATCATCATTCGCACATCATTGATATTCCGGTGAACTCTCCAGCACATTGAAACCTAGCATAAAACAAAGCCTAAGTTGTCACAGCTGTAGAAATAGCTATATATATATATGAATGACAAGAAGCATTATATTTGCGTTGTTGATCTAGCGACTTCACAAATGCATTGGATCCGGAGCGTAGGCAGGTGACGTTGTTGACCCGCCTTCTTATCCACTACTCATTCCAGCCCTCCAAGTTTCATTGTAATAATTTTCCCGCAAACATCCTCCATTTACTAGATTCTATGCACTGTACCAGTTTTCTAGTACTTAGCACTATGAAATTCCCGAATTAACTGCTGGCGCAACGACAATGACTGACCCCAAACACACTGCGCCAACCATGTGCTCCTGCCCCGCCCCGCCTCCGCGACGAAATACGCACCTCTTCATTTCGTCTTAGCCTTTATCCATAGCCTTTACGCCCACAAAGTCACACTGCACACCCACTAAATAACAATCTCTTAACTGGCATCCCCCCTCTGCACCACCTTCGATCCGCTATCCCGCGAAATCATTAAATTCCAAATCCTCGCTAGACTAGAAACCATTCAATGGGCAATATATCGTTAGAGGGAAGACCATAGATAGTTGATATAAGACCACGTCGACCCGGTTCTGGGGCTAGTGAATTACGCTTGACACTTCTTTAGAAAGCATGAGATGGAGAGTCGGGGAACTACAGATCAACTATGAACTAGAAACGGAGAATTTAGAGAAGATGAAGTAAATTTGCTAACCGAACAAACGTTCTAGCGTGAAGGAAGCATGAATCATCAGCCTGTTTCGTAAAAGCATAATCATGTACTTCCACTTTCTTCATATTCTTCCTTTTTTTGAACAGAAAAATATACTACAGCTTCATAAGCTCCCCAAAGCTTCAGCGTCTCCTACCAGCTAGGATTTATAACTCTGATTGGATCCTCGAGTACTCTTCGAACTAACATACATTGACATACCGCACTCTACCATATATGACTACGCGCTGTATCTGCAGCACAATGAATTCGCACATTAGCCTCCAAGCCACAGCCGCCGACATTGCAACTCCATTAAGTGAGGGCCCACCTGTTCTCACTCTGGATACCTCCTTAGAGTGGCATACTACGAATGAAGGGAATGAAGAAAAGCAGGTGCCGGTCACCGAGAACACAGAAACTGGGTGTACTGGGGGTAGCGACGAGCGTAAGCAGGATTCTGAAGTGTTTAATTGGGGGTTGCTGCTGTGATGGAATGTAGATTAGGGGGAAGGAGGGGTATCTTTTGAAGGTATTATGATTGCTTGAATATTCCGAACCGAGTACATGACATAGCTTACGTGAATCCAATGACTGCCACAATGCTCCGGTTGCCAGGGGCCATGCCCTGCCTGCCTCCTCTAACCCCCAGTCCTCCACCAAATGCACCAAACCAAAAACAAACACCGAACGCCTTCACAAAATCCCCACCGTTCATTCACAAATCTCCTAGATCATCATACACTACTCCTAAATACCACACTTCCGCCATGCCTCCACCTAATCGTCTCTCTCGCGGCCATGACATGCAACGCTCTACTCAACGCCTGCTCACTATACCCCTTTCCATCCACCATCTCCCTCTTCAGCGTCGATAAATTGACCTGCCATCCGATCGGCATCCTACGACGCAACTCTTCTTCGACCTTATTGACCTCCTCCATAAGTTCTTTTGAGTTCTGGCCTCCGCCCTGGTTCACTGCATCCATAGTCGAAGCAAGGAAGAGGCGAATTGCTTCATCGACATGTGATTCGTCCGCTACAGGAGAAAGAGAGAGTTTTGCGAGGGATTCAGTGATACGAATGATAGCTTCTAGTTGACGAACAGTGATGGGAATAGAAGATCGGGCATTGGCGTTCATTTCTGAAGCATGAACTTGTCGACGAATAGAGACGAAGTGTGAAGAGAGCTTTTCAGCAGCTTCAGGCGCGAGACGAGGGGCGCATCTCTGCCGGCAGTACGTGATGTAGCGCTTCATTTTCTCGATGGATATTTCGGCTTGGACTTGTTCTTCCACCCCCCGTCCTCCCATAGCAATGCCCATAACGTGCTTGGCGATACGCTCATCACGGCCACGATCATGCTCGTCTCGCACGATGAAGATCATGTCGAAACGGGACAGGATGGTAGTCTGGAAGTCGATGTTCTCTCCAGGGGTCTTCATATCGTCATAGCGACCAAAGATCGGATTTGCGGCTGCTAGGACGGAAGTTCGGGAGTTGAGAATCGTAGTGATGCCTGCTTTCGCGATGGAGATGGTTTGCTGTTCCATGGCTTCGTGGATAGCGACGCGGTCTTCGTCTCGCATCTTGTCGAATTCGTCGATACAAACCACTCCGCCATCTGCGAGAACCATGGCTCCACCCTCGAGATAGAATTCGCGTGTGGTATGATCGCGCTGCACAGAGGCTGTAAGACCGGCTGCTGATGATCCTTTTCCAGACGTGTAGATGGCGATCGGGGAGACTTTCTCGACGAACTTAAGAAGCTGGGACTTCGCAGTACCAGGATCTCCGAGCAGGAGCACATTGATGTCTCCGCGGAGCTTCATTCCATCAGGCAGGATTTTCTTAGAACCACCCATCAATAGACATGCGATTGCTTTCTTGATATCCTTGTTTCCATAGATCGAGGGCGCAATACAGTTAGCAAACGTCTCGTACAGGTCGGGCCTCCTGCTGAGTTCCAAGAACTCCTGCTCTTCTTCTTCCGTAAAGATAGCATTGCCTTTCATTGTGTGGTCGACCTCGGCGTGAATACCGACTGCCCGAATGTACGGGTTTCGGATAGCGACTGCGGCGTTCTGAGACCTCTTGGACCCTTTCTGCTGGTAAATGGAAAATACACCCATAACGGTGCATCGCGATCCAGGAACGACACGATTGGTGAGATATCGATCCGCTGAGATCATAATATGACGCGGCAATTCGCCGACGGGGACCTGGTCTGGCGCTTCCTGCAGCTTGAGGACCTGTTGGTCGATGAATTGGCATTTCTCATGCATAACGTAATATGGGTCCAGTGGGCACTTGTCCGCATTGTCGCCCTCCGTCCTGACTCTTCCACATGTTCGAGGGAGGGAAACGCCCGAGAATCCGCCAGACACAGGCAAGACTTCCTCATGTTGGCAGTTTCGGCACTGAATCGCAAGCGCCGTAGATTTGGAGGAAAGAGTTGAAGCGCCAATAACGATCCCAGGAATGCGAACAAGATGTGAGACATTGTTAGCATTGAGGTCGCGAATGGAGAGTTCAGAGGCGGCTGAGTGGAGGAGGAGTTGGTGTTGTGGGAGCTTGATGTTCCTTTGAGAGGGGTAGACGATCTGTTGTGTGCATGTTTTTAGGGCTGCTTCGAACTAGATAAAGTCAGCGAGGGTAAGATGCGACGGATAATGACACCGCACTAAGGGTATGATTTCGGCTGGGTCGGTCGTGAGGTTGTGTGCGAGCTCCTCGTCGTAGGAGATGAGATGCGCAATGTCGATGTCGCAGTAATACTGCTTCACAAGGACGTTTTCGCGAATCTGATCTCTGGGCATGCGTCAGCTCGCTCAGTCCTTGCATACACACTGCAAAACCGACCTGTAGATGAAGACATTGTCGAGATGGAAGGACATGACAAAATCCACCAGCGCTTGTTGGGTGCGCGAAGCTGAAGGACCATCGCGTTCATCGCCTGCCTGGCTGCCAAAGAGGCTGATAGAATACGCTGTCTGTCTATCCGCAGCCATTTTCGGGGTATTTGTGGAGGAATTCGTGGATTGGGGGTTTGGAGATGAAAAGCCGGGACAGTTGGTGAGAAGGGTAGGGGGACGCGTGAAAACGCGTCGCGTCTGTCTCCTGAAGTTCACGTGCTTCAATTTAGCCCCGTTGTAGTTAGTCTATCCCCGCTGAAACCACGGCCATCAGCGATCAAAATACCACTCAAGAGTTTTTTATCTCTCCTATGGTCAAACACGATCCGCCTTGTCATGGAACATTTGCATCCGTAGTTCTCCAGTGCCTCGAGATTCTGTCAATCTTTTGGAGCCGTGATTCTCACACGACACCCAGAACATCCAGCTCAGCCTTGTCAAAGTTGCCGAGGAAATCTGCCCACTCTCCGAAAGCATCAATTGCGCTGCAGGCATCAATATTCGTACTAACAGGTCGAATTCACATCGATGAAAGGTGCCGGTAATCCTGTTTTGTTCTTCGAAATGACATCGCTCAAGTCGTATCTCGTGGGCTACGTCTTGTTAACTCGCGAATTATACGTGAGATACTGCACCAGTATCCGGCTCGCTGCATGCAACCTCGCCAAACATAGTTGGGAGGGCATGTAGCTGGTGCCCTTTGGTTCTCGGTTTCATTTGAATTCTTGCCATTTCCAATTTTTCATTTACATCCTGTCGTCTACATCTCCCTGTGTCGACTTCAGCAGCCTGCGTTTTTGTATACCCGTTTGTTCTAGACTATGCATAAGTCGCCCGTTGTTGGTAGCTCTTTTAGAGAAAGTCCAGCTATCAGTCGCTTCTAAATTATCATGCTCTAAGTTTCGTACTGCTTTTGATTTCACCGGCTCTCTTTCGTCTCTGCCTGCTTCTTGGCCTCGTTCCCATGCACGTATCAATCAAGGCCTGCAGAGTTCTCTTCATCTCGTTAGGGTGGTCGCGTGCTCTGCTGGTTACACCAAAAAGATGGCTCAATATTGCCTTCGTGTAGGCCCGCGGTGGCGGAATTCTGCTGCCATCGAACGTTTGGCGCCCTCCCCGTGCCATTCCACTTTCCAGAAGGTAAAGTTGTTCTGTCACTGGTCCTCAGTCATTGGATTAAAGAGGCTTTTCGGCGAACTACTCATGATGAGAAGGGTCACCTCTTACAGGAAGGTGGAGCCAGAGATCCAGCTATCATGTCCTGCCAATGTGCCCTTCGGACTCTGGGTAACTTTCTGAGAGGCTGTAATGCATGTCCATAGGAAAGTTGATCCATTCACTATCAGCAACTCGCCCACATGTCCCCAAAGTAAGCCCCGATTGGCCCGAACTTGGCCCTTGGCGGAACTTGGCCCTTGGCGGAGACTTGGCCTTGGCAAAGATTTGGCCTTTGGGAGAGACTTGACGGACATGCCTAGCAAAGCTTGACCTACTGGCTTTCCGCTCCACTCACCGTCTTAGCGGGAGTGAAACTTTACTATTCCGGTTCAATTGCAAGAAGGCGCCCTCGACTGAGCTACGACCAGGACGCCAAGCTCTTCTGCGCGAAATGTTAACATTCAAGGCTATTCCTGAGTACCGCGTTGACGACGAGAGCGGCCACATGTCCGGTGCAGTTCATTCATTGGAGAGGACTGACCCACCCGTGCCGCCCAACTGGTGACATGCATATGTCTGGCCACCCTGGCTGGGTTCCTATATAGAGTGTCTTCCTACTCCCGCTTTGTAGCAACTGCACGGCCAACAACAAGCAGCACCTCGAGCAAAATGCCGAAACTTCACCAGTATGACTACCTCTTTGCCATCGGCACCATCTTCGCCTTCCTCGACGCTTGGAACATTGGTATGTTCTCCATCATCATCATCCTCCTCCTCGCAACTTTGCTCTAACACGATATATAGGTGCTAATGATGTGGCCAACTCATTCGCAACTTCGGTTGCCTCACGCTCTCTTACCATGAAACAGGCTATGATGATTGCTACGTGCATGGAATTCACTGGATCTATGACTGTTGGTGCGCGTGTCGCAGATACCATTCGAACCAAGATCATCAGTACAGGTCTCTTCACAAAGGACCCAGCAGTTCTCATGCTCGCAATGGTCTGCGCTGTTGTCGGTTCCTCCATTTATCTTACCATTGCTACGAAGCTTAGCATGCCGGTGAGCACGACACACAGCATCATGGGTGGTGTAATCGGTGCTGGTATTGCTGCTGTTGGCGTTCACGGTATCAACTGGGGCTGGAACGGAGTTTCTCAAGGTACTTCAACACTGATTCGGAAATGAGATTTGTGCTAAATGCTTAACAGTCTTCGCCGCTTGGGCAATTGCTCCTGGTATTGCTGGTGCCTTTGGTTCCATCATCTTCCTGATCACTAAATTTGGTGTTATGCGACGTAGCAACCCAGCCAAGAAGGCAATCATGACGGTTCCAGTCTACTTCTTCCTCACCTCCGCTTTGCTAGCTTGTATGCGCTCCCTAACATAATCATTACCCTCTTGCATCTAATATTATTGGCAGTGCTCATCGTCTGGAAGGGAGGATCTGCTAAGATCAAACTTAAAGATCCGGAAGTTGCTGGTGTCATCGTTGGTACCGGTGGTGTTGTTGCCCTCCTTATTTCCGTCTTCTTCGTTCCATACCTCTGGCGCAGAATCGTCGCTGGAGACTGGCAACTGAAATGGTATCACGTCTTTCAGGGGCCTCTTCTCCTGCGCCGAGGCGAGGTTCCCCCTATGCCAGCCGACCATGTCGGTATCCAGAACTATTACCGTGGACACCTCACTCGAGAGGAACTCCAAGCAAAGAGGGCTAGGGAGGGCCACTCTGACGATGTGGAGGCCCATCCTACGGATGGACCCGATGAGAAGAACGTGTCTTCCTCGGACGTTGCGGCTGTTCCTGAGTCTACCTCTAAGGATCTACTCTTCACCCCGACATCTGCACGTCCTGTAGGTCCTTGGTACAACCCTGCGGTTGCGTTCTGGATTACGAAGAGGGTTCTATTGCGCGGTGTTGAGGTTGATGTTGTGGGGATGCAATCTAAGCGAGATTTCCTTTCTGGCGACTTGGAGGAAATGCACGCAACCGGAGAACAATTCAACAACGAGGTGAGCAACTCCATAATTTTACATACCTCTTCCAAACGCTGATCACGTGATGCCAGGCCGAGTACACTTTTTCGTTCCTCCAGGTTCTCACGGCCGCTACATCGTCCTTCACTCACGGTGCGAACGATGTTGCGAAGTAAGCTGACCCTGAGCCCCCAAAGTGGAAGTTTAGCTAACCAAATCAGCGCTATCGGCCCTTACACCACCATCTACTTCATCTGGAGCTCTGGCACGCTTAAGAACAAGGTCCCGGTTCCAGATTGGATCCTGGCTTTCGGTGGTGCTGCTATTGTCATTGGTCTTTGGACCTACGGCTACAACATCATGAAGGCTCTTGGTAACAAGATCACCCTCCATTCGCCATCTCGAGGATTCTCCATGGAATTAGGCAGTGCTATTACTGTCATCATGGCTACGCGTCTGAAGGTATAAATGTCCACCACTCCCGCACCCTAAATACACCCACTAACGAGCATACTCCAGCTTCCCATCTCCACCACCCAGTGTATCTGTGGTGCCACCGTCGGCGTCGGTCTCTGCAACGGTACCTGGAGGACTATTAACTGGCGCATGGTCGCCTGGATCTACTTCGGCTGGATCATCACGCTTCCCGTTGCTGGTCTTATTTCAGGTTGCTTGATGGGCATTATCCTTAATGCCCCACATTGGACTCCTAAGAAATAGGTCGGGTCTCTCGGGGTCGTCATGTTTTCGTGGTGGAATAGTTAGGGTCGATGTCACTCCTCCCCCACCTTCGTTTGCCTTGCCTTAAGAGTAATGCCTTGCGGTCTTTTGTGGCGATGGGGTTGCTGAATGCCTAAGATTTAGCGCAGCATGCTTTGTTTTTAATAATATTAGTTACGTTACATTGTTATTGTTTATACATATTCATACATACGAGCAGGATTGGCTGCAAGAACTTCTCTCTAACTTTTTGGTAGAATCTTGGAGATAGTATGAAGGATACGACTGCCGCAGCTTGAGCATGTCGACATCTACCATGGACAGCCAAAATAAGGCTTTCTGGCTCTTGCTAGAATCCATGAGGGTGTTGATGAGATGTCTGACCAAAGACAAGTTCTCTTCTATGTGCTGTCTGGGCGGCAGCCTCACTCTGCAGGCCAAAACTTAGGCCAGAAGCCACACAAACCGTCTTTATCAAGAACACCTCTCCCCAGGATATCCAGCTCATACATTTCACTTCCTGCTGGGAAACCTAGAACTCAACCCACAGTCTAGTCTAAGTTCACAGAGGTGTCGCCGACGGCCACGGACACAAGATGGATTGGGGAAGCTTCCGTCTTAGCGTATATTTCCCTGCTTAGTATTGATTCGCTATTATTGACCCCGGCAACCAAAGCCATGGCTGCTTTACGAATTCTAGCCAAATTTGAAGCATAGCCCCTCAGGGACTTATTTATATGACCTTTGAGAGTATCTAAGATCCCCTTTGTACCCCACGCAAATATTACAGACCGCATGAGAATTGGTATTCGCACATTTGATCCTGCACGCTGTATATGGCGTACAGTTGTGCATGATAGATACGCGTAACAGAGCCTAGTAGAAGCCAAACTCTGCATCCTGATAGTATACCTACCTGCCCAGCCAGTACTCCAATTGTTTCTCCACGCAATCATATTTGCGACCATTCCAATCCACCATCAGAATCGATTCAACGCCTTAGTTAATGTGCTCTTATTGGTGAATGACATAGTGCGTGCAACTATATAGATATCGTTGCGAGTTAGCAATGGTGCACGCATGTCATTGTTAACTATGAAGTGGAGCAAATGGTCAACCCTTTGGCTCCTGAGGATTGTACTGCTTATATTAACACTCAAGCATAATATTGGAATCTTAAATGGGTTGATCTGCGATAAACCTTGATTGGCATTCTTGGATTTTGTCATCACTTTGACTTGAGGAATAAGATGTTTGCTGAGGGGTGGTTGGTGCTTGCGCTATTATTAACTTAGTGGGGGATACAGATTAGATGGTGTTTAGTAATTCAGGAAGCTGCATGCTAGTACGTGCAAGCTAAGTTTCTAGGGATTGGTTGATGTCTTTGCAGTTCCCTCGCAACCTATATGGAATCCCAGTCTGCCATGTGCTTGATAGGCTTTTTGCGCATACATACGAAAGCAAGTAGTCTTCCAGTTGTTTTGTAAAACGTAGTCTGAAGTTACTAAATGGTATTTACAACCCAACCACCAGCATGCTACGCCTTTTAACTCCGAGTCCCATGCCTAATGTGAGACCCAGAAGCTAATCCTACAAATCATCAACCCGAATCTTCGAACCAGAAAATGCAAGACGGTATCAGAGCGTCGACAGAAACGGAATTCCTGGCCCTCAATGCAATGAACAAAAAACAAAGCGTCCCTGACGCGTCTCCTAAAGCAATCCCTGGGCCGCCAAATCTCGATAAATCTTCTCCGGCATAACATTGCCTTCAGTGTCCTCCATCTGCACGACATTATCCGTGCTAAGCTTCTCCTTCTTCTTGTCCTTCTGCATCTTATTCCAAAGCCTCACCGCCTCCTCAATTCCCGTAATCTCTCGGAAAAGCGTCGTATTCGTGATCCCGAGACATTTAAGTCCATAAACATGTCTCGGCTCATTGAAATGTTTGTCAAAAGCCCTCCGGCCCATGTACACGAAATTCCCGCAAATCTCACACGAGAATTCTACACCCAGGCCATGGAGTTTGTAGAGCCAGAAGGGAATGGGTTTGCCGTCCCAGGCGAGCGGAAGTTTGAGCGGGTTATAGATTTTATCTTCACCGTCCGAGTCGTGGTCTTCGTCGTTGGGCCCGCCGTTGGTGGCGTCTTGGCCATCGGTGAAGATGGATTCGAGTTCTTGTTGGCGCTCACGCTCTGTCATGCCTTGTTTGCGTTCGACGTTGACCTTTGTGTCGGACCGCTCGGTTGACATGGCGGCGGCGAGTTTTTTAATGCGGAATTCGCGCTCGGCGATGGCACGTTCTTTGAACCGCTCGATGCTGGTAGCTGCGCCCTGGGGTTTGGAGGCTGCGCCGTGGGTTGCCCCGGGGTTTTCTTGAGCTTGGACGGCCTTCTTGTGCTTCTTGCCGCTTAGATGTGCCTCATAGACAGTTTCTTTGGTAAAGCCCTTCCTGCAAGCAGAACACCAGATGCCTTCGCCTTCCGGTTCGGCCTGGGGTGCCGCTGTATTTTTCGGGCCATTCTTTTCCCATCCGGGCACTTCATCCTCCTCCCACGCCTCGTGGAACTCCCTGTCGAAGGTCGCAAACATCTTGTCGAGATTCTCTAAAGGTTTCGTCCGGCGCATGAAACCCTCAAGATAGTCCTGCAGTGCTTTGAGATACTGAAAGTATGGATCAGACATCTTGTGCTCGCGACTAATGTTGCACTGAGGCGGGGTGAAGACATCGAACTGGTCGAGAAACTGGAGGTACGTCACTCGTCGCGCGTTTTGGTGGCCACGGAGATTTAGGTACTGTTCATGCAGCATGGTCAAGTCGAAGAACCGACCAAACCCCTCCTCACCGGTAAACAGAGTCTCAATCTGTGCGATAGCTTGAGCCTGCTCCTCGGGGGTCCGCTTCTTGTAGGCCTTCTCCAGGTTCTCGACTGGCTCGTTGGGATAGCGTCGATGGAAGTCTTTGAGACTGTCGATCTCGCGCGCGAAAGAAGCCCATACATCGCCAGTGCCCAGGTCTCTTACTTCGCGGTCTCGTTCGTTGTCGGGGTCATCGTAAAGCTTCTTGAGGCGGACAGATTGGGTTTCGATGTACGAGAGGAAGTTTCCGATCTGGTGGTCGCGTGCGAGGCGGTCGCGTATCTGCAAAGGGGTTAGCAGAAGAAGAGGGCGCGCCGAGGAATTGAGAACACCTACATGCTTGGGGTCCTCGAGAAGGCGCTCGGCGATGGCTTCCTCGAGCCGCTCCAGGTCCTCGTGGAGGAGGCGCTGGTCTTCGAGGAGCATTTTGGCGGTGGCCTGGTGAAGCTATGAGTTGACAATCCCTGGAAGAGAGGTTGTTCAGGCGTGCAGACCTTGCAGTTATTGTTGTCGAGTGGGGACGAGAAGCTCTGGCAATGCGAGGCAAAAGATGGAGCCGCAGCGCGCTAGGCAAATCATTTCACCGATGATGTCTTGGCGCCCCGCAATAATTCTCGACGCCAGACAACCCTGAACCTCCTTCACTTCCATCACGACCGCCTCTGCGCATACTCCAACACCCCAACCCCTGTCTCCTGGAACAGTGCGCCAGCTCGCAGCTGAATACCCCGATAGAAGATTGCCCTGATCATTCGGAAAAATCGATAGCCCACCATGGCCGAAGGAATTGACCGCGCGCGCGAAGGTACACCGCCCAGGCTTTGAGAAGCACAAAATATATCGTGGAGTTTACCGGAATGTGGTGCTAACTGAGCTTAGAGAAGATGGAGTTTACCACCTCCAAGGAGGTTGAGGTCGCTCCGACCTTCGAACAAATGCGACTGAAGGACAACCTCCTGCGCGGCATCTACGCCTACGGATTCGAGTCTCCCTCCGCCGTGCAGTCTCGTGCAATCGTCCAGATCTGCAAAGGCCGAGACACTATCGCCCAGGCCCAGTCCGGAACGGGAAAGACAGCTACGTTTGCCATCTCTATCCTGCAGGTCATTGAGATGGGTCTTCGTGAGACCCAAGGTCAGTAGAAGGCGCCTCTATGCTCAATAGAACCCCGTGCTAACATCAATAGCCCTCGTCCTCTCTCCTACGCGCGAACTTGCAACCCAAATCCAGTCCGTCATCATGGCCCTCGGCGACTACATGAATGTCCAATGCCACGCTTGTATCGGGGGAACCAACATCGGCGAGGATATCCGCAAGCTCGAGTACGGCCAACACGTGGTTTCTGGCACCCCCGGTCGCGTCGCTGACATGATTCGCCGCCGGACCCTCCGCACGCGCAACATTAAGATGCTAGTCTTAGATGAGGCTGATGAGTTGCTCAATCGCGGCTTCCGCGAACAGATCTACGACGTGTACCGCTACCTGCCCCCGGCCACCCAGGTTGTTGTCGTCTCGGCCACACTTCCATACGATGTCCTCGAGATGACTACCAAGTTCATGACCGAGCCGGTCCGCATTCTCGTCAAGCGTGACGAGTTGACCCTCGAAGGCCTGAAACAGTACTTCATCGCCATCGAGAAAGAAGAATGGAAGTTTGATACCTTGTGCGACCTGTATGACACTCTCACCATCACTCAGGCCGTCATTTTCTGCAACACCCGAAGGAAGGTCGATTGGTTGACCGACAAGATGCGCGAGGCCAACTTCACTGTTTCGTCCATGCACGGCGATATGCCGCAAAAGGAGCGCGATAGCATTATGCAAGACTTCCGCCAGGGTAACTCTCGCGTTCTAATTTCCACTGATGTCTGGGCTCGTGGAATCGACGTCCAGAATGTGTCGCTTGTTATCAACTACGATCTTCCACCGAATCGTGAGAACTATATCCATAGGATTGGTCGAAGTGGTCGATTTGGGCGCAAAGGTGTCGCGATCAATTTCGTCACTGCTGACGATGTTCGCATTTTACGTGATATCGAACGTATGTAATTTGCATCTTGCTTTAGGCTACTTGCTAATTCTTAGCAGTGTACTACTCTACTCAGATTGATGAGATGCCGATGAACGTCGCCGACCTCCTTCAATAAGTGGTCGAGCTTAGAAAGCGTGATATTATATCGACGGAGCTAGGGCTAACGGTACCGTTCAGGAGCATCGACTCTAGGATGTAGGTCTAAGCAGAAGGCCTAGATCTATTGAGTGCGGAGGAAAGGTCTTTGAAGTGTCTCAGTAAGTTTCACCTCCATCTTTATTTTCCTATACACTACTGACAAGTTGGCGGAAGACGCTCCACAAATTGATCAGGTGAAAAGCAACGTGTGTTGGCTCTTGGAATAGGCTCCCGATTGGTCTAGATTTTTTTAAAATATCTAATGAAATACCCTTTTGACTTTGACTTGCATTCACTCACATCCTCTCTTTTAAATTTGTGTCTCGTCCTTACGCTACCTCGTTCCTCCCTAGCAGCATCTCCAAGTGCTCAAACAGCATCCCCAACCTCCTTCAGTCTGCTCTCTACAAGTCTGCTCTCTACATCCTCTGCCACCACTCGCAGATCCAGTACTTCAGCCTTCAGCCCCTTGAACGTAAAACTTACAGTCTCAACTTCTATTCTGGCCTCCTGATGCTGATCCATTACCTTCTCAAATAATTCCGCCATCGGCTTGATGAATTGGTATCGCCGATTAGATTCGGCTAATAGATGGCGAGTGGTTGGTTGGTCTGATGATAGAGAAGTCGGGCCCTTAGGAATCACTCAAGTGGCATAGAGGCCGCGTGGTACGGAAGTGCTTAGCAGCTGCTTAAGGAGATCATAAATACTGCTAGGGATAGAGATAAGGATGTTCCGACGAGGGTGCGGGGGTAACAATTGAGACGAGGGATTTGAGTGGCGAGATTCAGACGGGGGGAGGGGGTTATTGTGGAAGGAGTGGGAGAGGAGGGATACGTAAATGGAGTGGAACGGAACGGAACGGAACAGAGCGGAAAGGTGTGAGGGGTGGACGGATGTTGAAACAAGGCAATGGAAGGCTCCAAGGGGAAGGGACAGAAAATTCAAAACTGATTAAGAATAGTAATGGATGGAATCAGACTGTTTGCTCTGCTCTCCCTATTTAGTTATAAGCTATTTATTAAGCGTTATTAATTCCTGCTGGAAGGGCTGGGCAGACGTTGCGGTTCCCTTTGACATCACCTCCTAACCCTAGTGGAGCTCCTTTCATATCCCCCACCTTATTTTATTGATAGTATTTCTCCTAAAAAAATCCCAGAGCCATCAAGTCAAGCAATGCTACCACCAATACCACTTAATGTTGATTATCTAGAGTAATTATGGGATATCGAGTGATGAACTGACATCAAGTTTCCTCGAGGCAATATCAAAATTTTCTTCAGATTCCCCGTAGCAACACAGCTAGGTGGCGAGGGTGTACTAAAAGTAAGGCCGGGAGCTTGTAGAATGCTGCTGGGGCTCTCGCCAAAATGATGAGAGATCCAGTGTTCGAAATGGACAGGAGGAGCACCTACCGGTGGCCCACCTGAAGGATTTCAGGTGCCTGCAGGTGTTGCCTGAGGCTTCAGCACTAGCCTAATTAGGTAGAACCTAGGCATAAGGGGGTAGTTTCGGGCGCTAAGAGAGTGAATTGGGGTACTGGGCCTAGTCACCCGCCCATCCCTTTGATATGCCACATAATATCCAAAAAAGAAAGTCCAAAAAGCTCTGCCGTACCTTCTCTGAATGCTCTCAATTAACGCAAGGCCTATCCCGTGGTCGCATCAGCCAGATACTCATACAAGTGCAACGACCACCTCCTTACCTCCATGGTGAGCGGCCAAAACCTGAACCAACGACCCTATCACCGCTATTAATTGACCTAGCTAAATTTATCAGCGCAGAGCTTCTTAACAGAGGCTAGAGGTAAGAGCAGAATGGCTAACTCTCTTACAGATTGCAATGGACCCACTATCTGTACCCCTCATGAGCTCCAAGCTCAAGAGGATCTTCTCGCCAACAGGTGTACTTATCACCAGTTGCCGTAGCAATCTCTAAGAGGATATTATTGAGACTCATAATTGCATAAGCTCATGGGATAGGGCAGCATGCAGAGGAGATTGACAAGAGCGACTTGAGCAACCCTAAAGAGAGTGTGGAGAACAAAAACAGAGTCTAGTTTGCTGTACCATTAAGGATCATGCAGTGAAATTTAGTTTTACAGTGGATTGGTAGATCTTGACATATTTTGAGCGACATTGTATTGATATGTGACCAGTTCTTAATGTTAAGCAGTGATTTAATTGACCCCTCCGACCCGCGCTAGGGCAGATTTGATAGAGCCCTCCATATAAACTTCCCCGCTAACTGTCAAAACGACTAACCTACCCCCCATAGAGCACCTACAGGCGTCTGATCATCTGTAGTTGGTCCACCTGTCCATGCCAAGCACTGGAGAGATCGTAACGTGTGCGGGTCAGTGATAGGGAGCTAATAAGAAAAGATTAGAGAGGGGAGAAAATGTTAAGACGGAGTTCATTTTCAAATACGAATCATACTCCATACGCGGTCATGAAGATGGCTAACTCCACAGCACTAGCAGAATAGGAGTCCTATATGTGGGCAGACCAGTGACTCGGGTATATTTTTCTACCAAAAAAAAAAAAGCCACACAACATATATCCAACCATGTCTTCGTCTGCCAGTATCACATCTTCTAGACTTTTGCACGTCCGCCGCGATATTCGTCTCTATCGTGTTCCAAACAGAGGCCACTCGGCAAGAATTAAGCTCGCTCTCTATCTCGGCTCTAGCTTTTTCTTGGAGTCGCCAAGCGATACCGCAAGTCAGCGTATTACGGTGGAGAAAGATAAGGGGGTGCTGGAGAAGTATAAGGTGCTCAAAATGTTAGGAAAGAAGATAGAAGCAGCACTCAAGAGTGTAGGGTTATGACGCGGGAAATTGGGGAAGGTTTAGGTGATATGCGAGATTAGTTGAAAAGATTTCAAAAATAGTGGTAAAGTTAGCTTTTATGGTGACGCAGTTAAGCTAGTCTGTACATACTTACTCGTGTAGCCTTTGATGTTGATATATACTTAAACCTACTAGACGGAATCTGAGGTGTGAATTCTATGAACTAAGAAATTGAGTCGTTGGGAGCCATTCTGCGGAAAATATAAAACACTCACACGGTTTGTGGATGTAGTGGAAGTGAATGCTCGTCCCTTTTCAAATATTGCAAACGATTTGTTGGAACGAATCGACTCACGTTGCAGTCATCGACAGCGCTTCCAGAGAGGCAGTACTGTACGATTAAGCGCTTTGGAGGCATGTACGGGTGAGATTTTGCTTACGTTCGTATGGTTGTGAGGAGGAGAGGTATGTATAATAACTGTTACGACTCACCTGGTCTGCACGGGTAGTACCATTTCATAGTAGTACGTTGTACTCTAGTGAAAACAGCTAAGACTGTAAAGAAGGCTGCCCTGCTCAGGGCTTCCAACGAGGCGTAGTACTGTACGATTGGGCGATTTTGAGGCCCGTACGGGTGAGATTTTGTGTACGTTCGTACGATAGGGAGGAGGAGAGGTAGGTGTACGTATCGTAACTGTTACGGCTCACGTGATCTGTACGAGTAGTACGATTCGATTAAAGTACGCCGTACTCCAGTCAAAACAGCTAAGACTATAGGTCCCTAGAGACGCAAGATTAAGGTCTAATTAACTATAAAATAACTAGTTCTCCCTAGTAACAAGAGCAGATAGGACTAGATGAGGCCTGTAAGGCGGCAAGAGGCGTGGTGTGAGGGGGCGTGGTGTGAGGGG